AAAGTGAAGTTGGAATGGCTGATGATATGCCAGAGAAGGACAAGAATGGTATAATTCCTAACCTTGTTACTATTCCTTCTACTTCTAATAATCCCACAAGTGTAGGAAGTAGGACCGACGAGGTTGCCGAGCAGGGGGAGCAACCTAATGATGTTATTGAGCAGGAGGAGCAACTTGATAATGGTGTCGAGCAAGTGGAGCACCCCACTCAGGGAGAAAAACAACCTCAGCCTCTAAGGAGATCAGAAAGGCCAAGGGTAGAGTCATGCAGGTACTCTTCCACAAAAGTATGTCATCATCAGTGATGAGGGGGAGACAGAAAGTCTGAAGGAGGTGTTATCCCATATAGAAAAGAACCAGTGGATGAAAGCCATGCAAGAAGAGATGGAATTTCTGCAGAAAAATGGCACGTACAAGCTGGTTGAACTTCCAAAGGGTAAAAGACCACTCAAATGTAAGTGGGTCTTTAAACTCAAAAAAGATGAAAATGGCAAGCTGGTCGAATACAAAGCTCGATTGTTGGTTAAAGGCTTCGAACACAATAAATGTATTGATTTTGACGAAATTTTCTCACATGTTGTCAAAATGACTTCTATTCGAACAGTTTTGAGCTTAGCAGCTAGCCTAGATCTTGAAGTGGAGCAGTTGGATGTGAAAACTGCATTTCTTCATGGAGATTTGGAAGAGGAGATTTATATGGAGCAGTCAGAAGGATTTGAAGTAGATGAAAAGAAACACATGGTGTGTAAATTGAATAAGAGTCTTTATGGATTGAAACAACAGTGGTACATGAAGTTTGACTCATTCATGAAAATTCAAACATACATCTACCTATTCTGATCTATGTGTATACTTCAAAAGATTTTCTGAGAATAACTTTATTATATTATTGTTGTATGTTGATGGCATGTTAATTGTAGGAAAAGACAAGGGGCTGATCGCAAAGTTGAAGGGAGATTTGTCCAAGTCATTTGATATGAAGGACTTGGGCCTAGCACAACAAATTCTAGATATGAAGATAGTTCGAGAGCGAACAAGCAGAAAGTTGTGGCTGTCTCAGGAGAAGTACATTGAACGTGTACTGGAACGCTTCAACATGAAGAATGTTAAGCCAGTCAGCACACCTCTTGCTAGTCATCTAAATTTGAGCGAGAAGATGTGTTCTACAACAGTGGAGGAGAAAGGGAACATGGCTAGAGTTCCTTATTCTTCAGCAATCGGAAGCTTGATGTATGCAATGGTATGCACCAGATCTGATATTGCTCATGCAGTTGGTGTTGTTAGTAGATTCCTTAAAAATCCTGGAAAGGAACATTGGGAAGCAGTCAAGAGGATACTCAGGTACCTAAGAGGTACTATAGGAGATTGCTTGCGTTTTGGAGGATATGATCCAATCTTGAAGGTCTGATATGGCAGGTGATCTTGATAATCATAAATCTACTATATGATACTTGTTCACATTTTCAGGGGGAGCTATATCATGGCAGTCGAAGTTGCAGAAGTGTGTCGCACTCTCTACAACTAAAGCAGAGTATATTGCCGTTACTGGAGCTAGCAAGGAGATGATATGGTTGAAACGATTTCTTCAAGAGTTTGGATTGCATCAAAAGGAGTATGTCATCTATTGTGACAGTCAAAGTGTAATAGACCTTAGCAAGAACTCCATGTACCATGCAAAGACCAAACACATCGATGTGAGATATCACCGGATTCGAGAAATGGTAGAGAATGAATTTCTAAAAGTCTTGAAGATTTTTACAAGTGAGAATCTCGCAGATATGCTGACCAAAGTGGTACCAAGAGACAAGTTCGAATTGTGCAAAGAACTTGTCGGCATGCACTCAAGCTAAAAGTTCGGTGCTAACTCCTTCGTGTGAATGAGTCTGGAGGGGGAGATTGTAGGGTCCATCTCCATAATAAAAAAGTTCAAGTTGCCAAATTGGACTTGGTTGCCAAATTGGTGGGTGTCGGAAAAAATGTGCAATGCAAATTTTCAACCAATACTTCATTCTAATTGGTTGAAGAAGTAGGCCATTTCTCCTATAAAAGGAAGCTATCTTCTTCTCATTTTACATCATACAGCAAGAGAAGTAACACAATAGTTGCAGAGAGTATTTCTCAAGCATTGTAAGAAATAGACTATGTAGGAAAAATAGAGAGTGTGAGCGATATTATAGTGAGGTGAGAATCTTAAAAGAGGGTTATTTCTTTTGAGTGTACAGTGGTCCCTGGAGTATTATACTCAGGACTATTGGGTGTAAAATTCCTCATTATAGTAAATTATTTTGCTCCTCTCGGACCCGTGATTTTTTTCCCCCTTAATCAGAAGAGTTTTCTACGTTAAAAATCTTTGTGACCTTGTTGTTCTTTTTTATTCCTGTTGATTACCGTATCTCGGTACTACGTTATTATTCCACTATTATTACCGTGAATATTATTTTTGTAGAGGGTTTATTCCCAACACTTATTGCAGAAGTGCAGGGTAAGACTACGTACAATAGACCCTTGTGGTCCGACCCTTCCTCGGAGCTCACGCATAGCGGGAGCTTAGTGAATCGGGTCGCCCTTTTTATCTTTTCTCTGATAGTGGCTTCTCAGGTTGGCATTTTGATGTTTTTCATCTTTGAGTCGGTTAATCTGTTCACACAAATTCATCTGCAATAAAATTACATCTCCGTGATGTGTTGTTTTGGTTTTCATTGCACCACTGCCTGATCTCATGACTAATAAGAATGCAAATACTTTGTTAATGGATCAACCAAATATTCAAGGTCAAATAGAAGATACACAGAAATTGGAATTTCTATCAATAGTTAATGGAAAAGGAGTATTTGACATCCTATGCTATGGAGGATAAGAGAATAGCATAGTTAGAGATTGAAGTCCAAGGAAAAAAGAATTTATGTAAAGGAATTTAGTGGAACAATAATTTAAATCCAAAATATCTCCCGAGTAAATAATTATAAATGTGTCATATGAATTTGGACAAGTAACTGCATACACTGTTTTGCATCTCTAGTATTAGTAAATGGTAACAGTGTTTTGTTTTACCCCCATACCTTTCATGGACAATGTAGATCCATATGCAATCACTTAGCTCGTTAGAAAGTAATAAGTTGGTCCAAAGAGTTAGTATCTCGTCTCTGTGTGTCTTGTGCATGTGGGGCGGGGGGTTGGTTTACTATAAGTTGAATAATGGTGATGAACATTATTTAATATGATCATTATCCAACTATGGAAGTCACAGAACAAGAAGTTAAGTATTCTGTTTGTGGTTTTCCAGAAATTTTGGTTTGTTATTTTAAAAAAAACCAAAGTTTTCAAACCGAACAATATAGTTGTTGGTTATTGAAAAACTTGCTTGAACCCAAACACTGCTGTATAAATTCTTACATAAATGTACAGATGCTTAAAATCTTTGTTCTTTCATCTGCTGACTGATATGCTTTATTTTGGATGTTCCTCTTTCCATAAATGCAGGACTTGTGAAATATGCAATTCAATTGCACACAATGTTGTTGGTCTAAATGACATTGAGTCAGCACAGCAAACAAATGAAGTAAATGCTTTGGCTACAAATGCAGCCCCTACACAAGTATCAGTGTCTTCAGAATCTCGAACTTGTTTGAATGGCCATCGATTTCTGAATTTCCTTCTAGCTTGTATGGTATTTACCTTTGTCATCTCTTGGCTCTTCCACTTTAACATTCCCTCATAGTAAACACTTCATTTGCCGTGAGGTCAATTGAAGGCCTGAGACTAGCTTTGCAGTACACCTATTTACCTGCAAGGCAAACAGGGAAAATCTCGAGATGTCTCAACAATGGGATTGCCGGTAGAGGTTGAGACATCTTCTCCACCAAGAAAACATGGACAAGTGTTCAATACTTCAAAGATAAGTCCCCATTTTCGGAGATTTAGTTAGATATTTTCCTTTTAAAATATCCTCTTTCATATGGAGGTTGATAAGTTCTAAATCCCGTTACATGATATGATATTCAGATATGAAATTATAATTGTTAAAATGTGTTTGTTGTGTGCAACCAAAGGACAAATATATGCAGCATTTCCTGATAAACGATGAAGTTTCTCAAAGGATTTGGACATATTTTTTATCTGATCTATTAGATCAAATGTAACAGAATGTCACTCGTATATGTTTTACCAATAAATGGTGGGAATGTGAGCCTAAAATAAGCTGCTTTAGCCAGAGGCGGATCCAAGATTTAAAGTTTATGGGTTCCTATAGCGACCTTAAGTAAATATACACTAAGTAACTGGATTCATAATTAAATATTTATAGATATTTAGTAGATTTTTAATACTTATACAGAGTATATGCAAAAGCTATTGGGTTCATGAGAACCCACATATAATAGGTTGGATCCGCCCATGGCTTTAGCTGAACTTGAAGATAAACCCCTCATAACAATTTCTACAATTAATAATCCTTACATTATTATTCACTCATAACCAATCTCTATATTATAATCCCAACATAACAAGTACGTGAACCAAAAGGACACCAAAATGGAGACATGGGCTATAGTGTGTCTATAGAAAGAGAGCATTGCAACAACCAAATGCTGCTAGAAGAGCATCAAGTTTCATGTCTAGTACAACAGATAATTGGGTAGTGCTGTGATTCAAACATTTCCTAATGCTGTCATCTCCAACTATTAGAGGGCTAGACTGTAAAAAAAAAGGTAGCCCGGTATACAAAGTATCCCGCGTTCACGCAGGGTCAGGGAAAAGGCCGTACCTCAAAGGGGTGTAATGTAGACAGTCTATATCCCGCGTTCACGCAGGGTCCGGGAAAAGGCCGTACCTCAAAGGGGTGTAATGTAGACAGTCTACCCTAATGCAAGCATTAATGTTGATTACACGGCTCGAACCCGTGACCTATGGTCACACGGAGACAATTTGACCGTTGCTCCAAAGCTCCCCTTCATTAGATGGCCAGACTAACATTATGAAAAACAAAGTGCCAGATGTTCGCAGAGTACAAAATGTAAAAGATAATTTATTGACTGAAAAAGATGGAATTCCATTATTACATTTGATGCCATTGATTTTTAACCATAGGCACCAAGGAGACATCAAAAGCATTGACCTGACCTTGATTTTGTATTCCTACGCTATAGACCAAAACTACTAGACTTACATGAACCCCAGTCATCATTTTCTAAACCAACCTTGTAATGATATTGAAACAGAAGTGCCCTTTACCAGCTTCGGTTAGTTGCCCTCCATGTATTGTCCGTACACTACTCATCACTGTTTCAACATGCACTGTGCTTAGTGGCAGAGCGAAAATTCAATAAGGGTGTTCAAAATTTGAACATCCTTTACCAGTGGGCTCCGCAAGGGTGTTCAAAGTCTATTTTTTTTTATCAATAACAACTACATATTTTACCCTATACATAGTATAATTTTTTGTGAAGGATGTTCAGTTGACTACCCTTGGCCACACATAGCTTCGCCCCTCCTGACTATGCTCCCATCTATACACAATCCAGAACGCAATTCTCTATATCCATTCTGCAGGATCTCCAGAATTTCCATTCAGAAGTTTGTGATTCTCTTCCTTAGTTTTGCTATTCTTGCTCAGTGGTAGAAACAATACTGCATTAGTGCGGTCAGGCAGTTCTGAAAGAAATAACTCAGTGCTTCAGCAAATTTTATATCCTTTCGTATTAAGCGAAAAAGATAGAGTAGCAATAATTAAGTAAATGCAAAGAGAAGATTAGGATGCTAACCTGGCAACTGTTTGTCAACGAAGAACACTACTAGATTAACAGTGTACCTGTAGAGCTCAATCAAAGTCAGACAATTATTTGCAAACAACAGTGCCAACACGGAATATCAAGCTGAGAGTTTCACTCACCATGCCACAGCAACGTCCACAGTGTAATGTTTGCGTGATGCAACAATAAAGATGCTCTGAGAAATAACAGCTAACCAAGCACACAGTTTTATGATCCTACAGAATCAAATTGAGCAATCATACAAATTCAGGCTGTCGCAAAACACTTAATTCAAACCTTCTTTGTTCTTCTTTTAGGGCATCCATTTTACATTAAAGAAAATAAAGGGCAGCCCGGTGCATGAAACATCCCGTGTTTACATAGGGTCCAGGGAAGGGCCGCACCCCAAGGGAGTGTGATGTAGGCAGCCTACCCTAATGCAAGCATCAGTGGCTGATTCTACGGCTCGAATCCGTAACCTATAGGTCACACTGGGACCTATAGGAAGAGAGCTCCAGCATCTCAAGAAATAGCATATAAATCATATACCCTATGAAGCTATTTCAGTAAAATATTGCAGACATAAGAAAAAAGGCACTTAAGTCAGGTTAAAGAAAAAGAAGAAAAAACAAAAAAGCAAAAGAGAGAGAGGTTCTGTTATGTTGAATAAAATTCAGGATTAACTACCTTGCCCAGCATTCACCACTAGAATAGTTTCATTCATCAGAAATAGAGCTCTAATCTGAAAATCAGATCTTACAGAGCATTATGCAGCATATTACTGCTAAATACCTTCTTGTCCCGTATTTATGATAACTCCGCACAAAGACTAGAGAGAATATCATATGAGATGAAAATATCAGATCACCACAGCCGTAAAGCACGCCCCTAGGAACTGCACATTCATAAACATCGCATAATCACACTGTAACAAGAACAACTGAAAACAAAAGTGAGTGAAGGCAAATGTATCTCACAATTAATGAATAAAACTTCTAAAACACTATTCGGAGGAGGCAGTGTGGCAAGCTTTGAACCCTACAATATCAGAAGATAGACAGTTAACATAAACACGCAGCTCATAGACAACACAAGAGTGCTAACTGACAAAGCATCAACCACATGAGACAAGTCTTTACCTCACGACAGTGATAATTTGGACCAGGAAGCTGTGTAGAGTAGAATGTTATGATCCGAAGGAACTGACAAGCCTGGAGTGAACAATCATTTAATGACTTAGCAGATCTATAATGGATCACTATTGACTTCTCTCTAAAAAAAAAAAAGGGCAGCCCGGTGCACTAAGCTCCCGCTATGCGCAGGGTCCGGGGAGAGGGTCTATTGACTTCTCTCTAAATGTTTTCTTATTTGTGGCCAAGCGGTAACCTAAGGATAGATTATAAAGCATTCAGGAAGAGAATTAAAGTTATCCTTGCCAACAACATTAAACTGAATATAGAAGCCCAATGATGATACCATATTGACTATTTTTCTTCCTTTTTCAACGGAGAAGTAGAAACTCGTCAAGACTTTAACATATTAAAGAAACACAAGAATGACGCCTAAGAGAATTGGTAACTTACAACTAAGAAAGCCAAGACCCTGCACCATATCAGAACTGTATAGATCTTTTTGATCTTGAAAATGAAAGGATGGAATGTCCACTGCAGCAAAACAAGAGCAAGAGTTAGAACAACAAGATGCAATATCAAACCTAAATGGCAAGTTAATAGACTAAAATTTACAACGAACTAAAAACTCCAAAGTCCGTTGGAAGCTATGGAAACATTCTACAGCCAGATGATTAGAGTTTAATGTCCAGGCTTCCCCGATTTCTCAATCCTGAAGCAGCTTGGCCTCACATTTTCAACAAATACAAGATTTCTTGAAAGTACCTCTATGGCATTATGAATGAAAGACACAAAATATGAAAGATTCAGCATTAGTTCATGATGGAAAATCACCAAAGCCAACTCACCAAGACAAAAGACAGAAAGATGGTGGTGAATACACTTTCACTTATGTAACCTTTCTCTTGCCCAAGCTCCTGTAGTTATCAATTAAAGAAACCAAAAAGGAAAATATGAGTGGGCATCTATCTACCAAAAGAGCGGAGGTAAAGAGAACCAACTACCAACGGAAACCAACCGGAACAAGAAAGAAGCCGACATCCTGAAGAATAGGTCCAGGCCGATGTATGTAGTGAACCCCTCGAGCAGCAAGTCCATGTATGTACTGAAGAAAGGAGAAATATTTACAACTCGTAGACGGTAGATCTAATACACACTAGGATCATGAAGAAAAACAATAAAGAGCAACAAAAAATGACGTACCAAATATGACAATGACAAATAGTAGTAGCCAGAATAACTTCTAACAGCAGGGAAATACGTCAACAAGAAAAAATCATAAATTGCATCATTCGATAAGAGGTGAAATCTAGAAGGTGGCTATGGAGTCTAGGTGCTCTTTAGGTGTATTATTTGTTTGTTAATGGTAATATTTCACAGTTATTACCAATAAGAGGTGAAAGAAATAAAATTGTTTGCTAAAACTTCTGCTGGTTCCCCCCTCCCCCTACCTGCCCCTAGACACAAGAATAGAACAGAAAGTATTGAAGAAAGAAACACACGACTTTAGGCAAATATTCAGAGTGAAGTGACTGCAAACCAAGATTAAAAAATGTGAAATTTATTAAGCTTAACCTGAACTAATAGTTCTTTAAATCAAACAAGTCATAATTTTGCGACAACAACAACAAACCCAGTGTAATCACACATAGTAGGGTCTGGCGAGGGTAGAGTGTACGCAGAACTTACACCTACCTTGTGAAGGTAGAGAGACTGTTCCGATAAACAAGTCATAATTTTGGAAGGAAGGAAAAGAAAGATGATTAATTTACACATCCATATTGAAAAGCTAATCAAGTCACAAACTCTGATCAAGAACTCCTAGAATCTTCAACTAAAACCAACGCACTCCACATAACAAAATAATTCCTTTTCGTGTCACAAGCCTACATACAACAAAAAACGACTATTATGCCTAACTAGTTGAGGTTGGTTACATGAATCATATATAAATTCCATGCCACAGTCCAAATGGTGCAAAAAAAAAAAAAAAAAAAAAAAAAAAAAAAAAAAAAAAAGGAAATGATGTCTTACTAACAAAGCAAAAACAGAAAACTGAGGGTTTTGATCAATATAAACCTGAAATATCAAACCGGCAAGAATATACTTCCAGTTCTCCGCAAGAAGTTTGATTTCTGTTGCAGTCTCTGCACACACTCTCTTACATAGCTGCTATCCGTAACAACAACAATCGACGATCAACCAAACACACACACACACACACACAAAAGTTAAGAATTTACTGAAGCAATAGCAAGAATAAAAAGGGAGTTCCAAACTTGAAGAAATGAAGTAAAAGACGAACCTTTGAAGCCTTACGACCAATGTAAAACGACATCGTTCTCGAATGTGACCACTGAGTAGTGAGTACTGACCACCAAGTGTAAGTATCACATTACAAACCAACTACGAAAGTCAGAATGATTCATCCGAAATTATACTACACCTTCTTTCTTCTCACAAAATTCAATTATAACAGCCTAAATTTCAATCTGATTCCTAGCCTAAAAATTACTTTAATCTCAATATTTTTGTGAAGATTGAATTTTCATGCTGTGTGTTATAAGCGTGGGATGTAATTATATATAGTATCTAAAATATTATATAGAGTATCTACTTTTTTGGAGTTTGATTAGTCTCTACTAAAACGCGAGTTGGACGCGGAGCGGCAGTTGAAAGAAAAGAGGGGAATTTTTAGAGTAATGGAAAGAACGAATCAAGCCAAAAATGGACAATTTTATCGTTTGTTGTTGATTTTGCTGTACTTATTGTTCTTTTTGAAATCAATATCCGAATTTAATCCATATTAAGTAGAGTAGCAACTAAGGAACAAATACCATAAGCTACTAAAGTGAGGCACTAACAACTTGTTTGGATGGTTGTTACTTATTGTAATAGTATTGTATTGTTATTCTAAAACAATGTTTGTTTTGATTGTTTTGTTGAAATTTGTTGTATTGTATTGTTAAATTTATTGTTCCGGAACAATGAAAAGTCTCATTTTTTTAAACAACCGATTTGGTGTGGTGGGATTGTTTCCTATTTTTCTTTCCAATTATGCCCTAACATATTACTCCATAATCCTCTTTCACCCTTTACCTATTTTTTTTAAACTCCAAATCTCCCACCTATAACCTACTTTGTCTTCATCTTTTTTTTTTTCTAGAACTTCTGCCGCTTCCAACTCCAACGTAAAACTGCTAATTTTTTCCTACTAATTTTGTTAGAATTTACATGAATTTAATTGTTTAATCTATTTATAAGACATATTTGGTGATAAATTAGTAGAAAGGGTTTTCTTAAATTATTTTTATGTGTAATTCTTGATAAATTTAATATTTAAACAATTGAGGGTATTTTAGTAAACTTATCAGTTATAGTATAGTACGATACAATCAAACCAAATAGCAAAATGTTATTTAACAACAACAAACAATACAATTTATCCAAACGTTATATTCATAAAATGATACAATACAATACAACACAATACAATACAATATAAAACGATGGATAACAACCATGCAATCAAGCTGTAAGGGAGAGTTGGAGGGGCTAACTCTTGTTAAGCGTATGAAATATGGGTCAATATAAAGCTGCACTTTATAAGATTGTAAGTAATCCACATTTATTTACAAGAAATTAAATAAATTATGTATTAGCTATACACAGATATAAACAGGAGGAATTGGGCCTTTATGGCTTTTTACAGGAGGAATTGGGTGTCATTTAAAGTTTAACCCCGTTAAAAAAGGTCAGGAGAAAATATCATCATGCTAGATTTTTGGGAGCAAATGTTAGAAATTTTCATATAGTGATCATTTGGATTTGTCATAAAACAAGGAATCACCAGGATTTTTCAACGTTGTGAATGAAATCCTAATGATCACCATAACCATCTGTTAAGGAAAATTCTGACTATTGCTAGAATTGTTTTTCAAAATTCTAACTAGTGTGCTTCAAAATTTTGGCGAAAGGCTATTCTCCTAAGACTTTTTTAACAAGGTCAAAATTTAAAGGGTGATCCTAAAAAGGTTCATTCTGCGTAATATTCTTGATTGGCAGCGTATAAAGAGTCCAAACTGAATTTACCTTTCCAAAAGGTAAGGGATCTTTATCCAAATAGCCGTTCACCCAACCGCTTAAACTAAAAATAGTCGGTGGAAGTATAATATCAGGGACGGATCCAGAGTACAAAGACCGGGCTCACCGAGACCCAATAGCTTTTATTTATACCTTGTATATGTACTAAAAAATTCATTAAATATCTATAAATATCATATTGTGAACCCATAAACTATTGTGTATTAAGTTGAGATCGTTGCAGGAACCCATTAACTTTAAATTTTGGATCCTTCTTTGTATAATATATACATAATTTATATATTATATGTGTATAATCAATATATAATGCATGTAGATGGTTAGAAAAAATAAATAATAAATATAACCGGCTATTTATGTAAAGATTACTTACCTTTTTGCAAAGTCCAACCTAGCCCAATTTAAGGGTCCAAACTAAAATTATTTTTTCTGCAAGCCCAACTACTACTTTCTAGGCAGTGAGGTTTCGTGTCCCATTTCCGTAACCTCCCCGGAGATATAAAGTCAAAACACTTCTTTATCATAGCCCAGCGACACTGTAAATAAAAAGATAGAGCTCCGTCTTTCCTTGTCCTCTTCGTCAAAATATTTGAGCAGGTAAATTAAATCTCCGTCCTAAAGTCTTCTTGTTGTTAATTCTATGGGATATGTTAATCGATGATTCATTGTCTCTGTTGGCCCATATACAGAGTTGAGCATTTTATGACTTGAATTTTATTATACAACAATGGAGGTGGCTTCCAATTTCCAAACATTGTCTTTCGGACCTCGAATCAGTCGACCCCACTTCCTCAATATTGTGAGTTTTTGTAACATTTCTCGCCTGTTGCGTTTAGTTTATTTTTTGCTGGCTAATTTAGATTTTTTGAGTAGTGGGGTTGTCTAAAAGGATTTTGCTGTGCTAAAGAAAAATGTTGGGAGCTTAAATTCACAAGCTGAGCAATTTTATAGTTTTTGGTTCCTAATGCTGATACAGTTCCAGTATTTCGCGATACAAATTTAGAAGTAAATTGAGTGTTCCTAAAGAGTAAAGCAAGGAATTACTCTTGAACAGTCCACTCGAGCTGGTAACCCAGATGAATTTAGAGAGAAGAGAGAGAGAGAGAGAGAGTTGATACAACCTAGGAGAACCACACCCCAAAAGCTAGCTATTAAGGTGGGAGAGCCCAAGGCTATGTAAACCCCACATCAACACATTGCAATACCGATGCGGGACTCAAGTCCCATACCTTGCAATGGACCATAACAAACCACCACGCTCCGCATCCGTCGTCCCCGACGGCTGTGCGCTAGACTTTTCTAGCCCCGGGCTAACATTGCAATACCGGCGTCACCATCCATGACACGGTGGACACGGAGGGCGGTGGGTGGCGCTGATACCATTAATACAACCTAGGGAGAACCACACCCCAAAAGCTAGCTATTAAGGTGGGAGAGCCCAAGGCTATATAAACCCTATATCAACACATTGCAATACCGATGTGGGACTCAAGTCCCATACCTTGCAATGGACCATAACAGAGAGATTTTATTGATTTTCTTCCCAAAAACAGAATGATTACAATTCCAGTCTAGGTTAGCTAATAAAGGAAGAACAGTTTGGGCGGGAAAGTTAGTTGTAACTAATTTTCCGGACCCATGTGCTCTAACTAACCCCTAACGACCTCCTAACTAATTGAGCCAGCTCAACAACTAATCATCAGCTAATTTTACTAACTAATATCGATTACAATCAACAGAAATGGAAGGTGCCTTAATTGGATCATATCAACTGCTTGTTTAGGCCTTTTCGTTATTTCATTCCCATGGTGTTGAATTTTGACGGGAAATTTACTTTTGAGGGGTTTTACTTGTTTCCTCTTACCTTTTGGACTTAATCATTTTTGTACAAACTTAAGCAAATACCTAAGGAAAAGAGAGCATTGATAGCTTGGTCTCATTGAAGGATATAGATTAATGTTAATAAAATCAACCTGTCATCTGCTATCTGGAAATAATATTTCTCTATTCAGTGAAATAAAAATTCAAAGAGGTATGCCACTTTTGCATTTGCTATCTTTTGTACTAATTGCATCTACTTGATGCCATTAATGATATCCCTTACTTCATCAAAAAAAATAATTCAAAGTGGTATGTACTTTTGATCTCCAAGTATCGCCGCGCGTACACCTTGTTTCAAGTTCTTGGTACAAATCCCATTTACACTTAAGACAGTTCATAATCTTGATAATCAACTGGCAAAGTTTTTCGGCAATTGCAGAGGGCCTGTTTCTAGAAAACTGCAAAAGCTCCAGTGTTCATTTCCTAAGCTTAACGTTAACATCTTGATTGATTATGGGTTCTATTTTTTGGTCATTGAATATTTGATCGGTTGACAGTTCCTTTATCCAACAACAAATCACATGCTTCCACATTTGTTCTAGTTCTCCTCAGATTGCTGCTCCCTTTCCTTCTTTTTCATCACTCTTTCCCTCCTTTTTGTCTCCTTCCCTCTTCTTGTTTCCTTCTCCTTTTGTGCCGGATCATTAGCTAATAGACACTGACACATGTACCGTATGAAAGGGATAATGTGATTGCTGAATTTGCTAGGAATTGAATGGATGATTTAGAGCTTGGGATACTAATGGTTAATAGTTGTGCATCAAGTCATGATAAGGGTATATGCGGAGGTTGTGGATGTGTAGTTTTTGAAAAACGAATGAATTTAGGTGGAAATGGGTTGTAGAGGTAGTGGTGGTGAAGGTATGAATGTGGTGTAACACTGTTAGTGCAATGAAGGAAGTCTATAGGTCCTAAAGTAATTTTGTTTTTATAGGTAATAATTTTCCAAAGCTGAAGGGAAGGGCTCACAATTGAACGATATAATCTTTTGGTCCAGTGGGAAGTGTCCTTGGTAGTTTTTGGTTATCCTTTGCTACTCATATAAAGTTTTGTTACTAAATATGGCAGGTCTGAGATTTGTGTTTCATCTACTTCTGCTTGGTAGTGATGCTGTTTCTCTGCCTGCCGCCTTGCTGTGCTGCTGCCACTGTTTCTGTTTTTGCTGTCTTTCTTTCTGGGGTTGGAAGTTCGAATACACTTAAATCCTATTCTTTCATAGTTCTGCTGATTATGAGATCATTAGATAAGCCCATCACCTTCATCAGCTATTTTATATTATAATCAGTTTGGCCGCCTAATGTGTTCCCTGGGCTGCTGGGGCTAATGCACCAGAGTGAGTTGAGATGAAAATTTTGTCTGGGTACAGGGAGAAAGTTTAGCAGTAGTCTTGTTTCAGTACTATGAGGAATTGTAGTAGATTTTTTGCAAAATGGAGAAAATGTCTTCAATTGTGCAATTGTCAGTAGTCTCAATCTTCCTTCTTCTATTACTATTATTAGTTTTATGCTGGTACAGTTAAATGTTTGATGAACCAAAGTCTTGGCAAAATTTGATATGTATTTGGTTTTGTAACCAACTTTCAATTGTAGGGACACATTGAGTTCAGAGGGCACATAGCTTCAGCTCATACCAACATCAATGCTGTTCAGATTGATCACTGCCTTGCTTCACCTTTTCAAATGCAGTTCAATGCAGTTTCAGCTGGCAGAATTAAGATAGGATCTGGATATTTACCTGGACGCCGTGCTTTTGATTTGGAAAATGGAAATTTCAGTAAGTTCTCCTTGCTTGGCTGGAAGATATTCAAAAAGTATGACTTACCTCTCAAAGGAAATTTATTTACAACTTCTCGTTGATGAATGCATTAATTTTTCAGTATCTTTTATAGCCCTTTATAGATTCTTGTTGGCCTGCTGATGTAGCTGTTCTGAGATTGGATTCTTGGGTAGAGTTGCAGTTCACTTTGTGCTGATGCTCTCTTTGGCCTTATAAGTTCATATTAGGATTATACGGTTAATTATCTCTATGTTTGTTCTTTTAATGAATACTTCATTTAAAAACTTTTGCTTTTGATTGTTTGATATAAATCATTTTAATTTATCGTTGTTTTGCTGGTGGCTGTGTTGTATAGTATGATTATATGTTATTTGTTCCTTTTCTGTACTTTACTGTGACTTTTAATAGACAAGAGATGGAACACTCAGTTTGGTGTTACAAATGCAGAGTAGTCATAAAATAGTGTAAACTTGTGATTTTCACCAGAAAAAATCAGTTACTTTTAAGTTTTATCTCTTGTCAAATGTGCTTTGGTATCTTCCATGAAGATGAAGACAAACATTAATGAGGAGGAATCTTTGCATTTAAGGATGAGAAACTTTGATGTCATATTCAAGGTGTTTATATGAAAAGAAACTTATCTTTCATATTATATTAACATCCAAAGTACTCCGTTGAAATCACATAATCTTCTGATATTCTTTACCTTTCTCGGAACTTTATATTTAGTTGAGAAATGAAAAAAATGTCTACCCTTCCACTTGCTTTCTGTTTTCTCTGCATTGTCTGGAGGTTAGGACCTCTATCTAAGATATTGTGCATCTGAAAGGGAGCCTTGGCGTAACTGGTAAAGTTGCTGCCATGTGACCAGGAGGTCACGGGTTCGAGCCGTGGAAACAGTCTCTTGCAGAAATGCAGGGTAAGGCTGCGTACAATAGACCCTTGTGGTCCGACTCTTTTTCGGACCCCGCACAGCGGGAGCTTAGTGTGCCGGGCTGCCCTTTGCCCTTTTTAAGTATGTGCATCTGATTCTTCCTGGCTGTACTTTTATTTCCTTTACAAGTCTTCAGATTAGTGTTACATGCAGCATACCTCATACCTGCTAAGTGTGTTCTGTTCAACTTTTTTTTCCTAATTTAATTTTTTGTTTACTTCAAATTTCTTCTCCCCCAAGCTGTAAAGTCATCTAATTGTGTATTTATTCAGAACAGCACCTTTTAGGCAAGGTTCCCATACTCATTCACTGAGACCATGCCGGGTCATGAGTGAGGATTCGGAAGGAACTTTGAGCGGTGAAAACATCTTGCTAGATGAGGAAACCTTGGCGCAGGATTTAAAGAATGCTATTAAAGAGGAGAACTATGCCCGAGCAGCAAAAATTAGAGATAGCCTCCGGCTTCTCCAAGAGGACAGTAAGGCCTCTGTGCTAGCAGCAAATGCTCGCTTTTACAACTCTTTCAAACATGGAGACTTAGCTGCAATGCAAACCCTCTGGTCAAAGGGTGAGAATGTCTGTGTCGTGCACCCTGGTGTTAGTGGCATAACTGACTATGATCTTGTAATGGGAAGCTGGGAGTTTGTGTGGGCAGAATATGATTTCCCACTTGATATCGAGATCAGGGATGTTCAAGTTCATGTTAGAGGTGATATCGGGTACGTTACATGCATTGAAATGGTCAGAACCAAAGGCAGCAGCTGGGGAAAACAATTTGCTACAAATGTTTTCGAGAAGGTTGATGGGCAATGGTTTATGTGTATTCATCATGCATCGTATATCGACTTGTAAAATGTGATGAACAATAAAGCTGTTGTAGAGGTTGTGGAGATTGAAAGAGTATTTTAGGAGCTGAAGTTTTGAAATCTGGGTGCAGAAATTTTGTAGTTTTGCTTCTATTATAGGTGTTGGTGACCTATTATTATTAATAATGAATTATAATACTAGTATGTCTGTGAAATGTCAAATTGCTTAAAATATGTAAACTTATTTCTTCGAATCTGTATTTCCAACTTTTTCCACTTGATGGATGTCTTGAAACTGTAATATATTTTCCAAAAAACATTTCATTCAGTTTTCTATCAGACCTCCAGTATGAATCCTTTTTTAACTATTATTTAAAAAAATAACAACATTTATTGTTTATTTTATTTAGAGCACTTTTTTTTTATTATTAGCATATTATAAAAATTAAGCTCAACATTTAATAAGTTAACTGACTTACTAATCACGGGAAGTACTTTTTTGTCCATCTCAATTCTCCCTTTCCAACATTCATCTTCTTCACTCCATTTTTGAAAATTTAATACATATGTGAATGCCACCTAAATTCAAGATATATTGATTTATACGTCTTTTATACTTTGTATATCAAGTATCAATTTAATTCAAAATATATTTTTATATATATAATTTTTGTATATTTATTTGTGAAGTGCCATCTTATTTTAAGATGTATTTTTAATGTATATTTTAACTATATTTTATATGTCAAGTGCCATTTTAATTCAGGTATATATATATATATATATATTTATATGCCATCTTAATTAAATTTAAGATATATTTTTTATGTATATTTCACATGTCTAAGTGTCATCTTAATTGAAGATGTATTTTTTATGTATATTTTTTTATGTGTTAATTCAATGTATATTTTTTATATATATGTTTTGTATATATTAACGTATATTATTATCGAAGTAAGATCTTTATGTTAAGAAAGGAAAAAAGAAGGAAGAGAAAAACTTAAGAAAGATAATTAAAAAGAAAACGGATGGAACAAATATAGAAAATGAATTGGCTTCGGCAGAAGAAAAAATTAAGAAGATGAAAAAAAAAGAAGGAAAGCTAATAGATAAAGAGAAAAAAATGCATGATTTTTGTACAAAGAATTATTGACTTTCCATTCAAATTGTTTATGTTTAGGGATTAATAATTAATATTCCTATTTTAATAGAACCGTGTGCTACAAATATAAATATTTTCCTGCCACAACTGTAATATTGGATTTCATGCTAAGAATTTGTAATATTTCTTTTAAACTGTGTCAGTTATGTAAAGTTCTCTTATTAAAACATCAATGAGTTACACTTCACCTTGAAATTTAGTAGTAGTGAAAAATGAACATTCAAAAGTTAAATATTTTATATGTTAAATGAATAAAATTATAAGTAATATTTATAATAAAGTTATTAAAAATGATAATTTTTTATTTATTGATTCAATTGTTTGAATTACAACTTTTTACTTGTATATATCCTTATATAATTTCGTATTCGCAAAGTAATCATGTACAGTAGAGTGAGCTGCATTGCAATATCTTCATATTCATATCTTCGCCTGATTTCATATCTTTAGGTTTCAGAGCAACTTTATTAAAGTTACTTTTGATCATTATTTGTGTCTATTTCTTGGCACTGGTAGGTAAATAGTTATAAAGGTTGCCGAACTGATTTGAGATGCTGCTCCAAAGTCTCCACAGCACCATTCAAAAGAAGTTACTAAAACTTTCTTTAAGAGTATTATATTCAATATTTATACCACCAATTAGTGGAAAATTACACCATTCAGTAGTAAAGAGAATATATTGACATTATCTATACCCACGTTTTTACTTTGTTAAAGGAAATAAGTTAACTACAAGCTACTCACTAATGTAATTGCTCTCCCCTTTCGACCCTTGCGCGGAACCAAATAAGAAAGTAAACAGTTTCTACAAAAGTTAGAAGATAATTGTATGTAACTTTCACCCAAAAAAAATTATATGTAATTGTTTATACTATATGAAAAATAAGATATGTATACAATAAAAACAAGTTAAATTATTATACACTATTACTATATAAAATTATTTTATATGATCGAAGTATAAGTTAGACTCGAATTAGAATAATAGAGGGTTTGAGATTAAAATTACATTTTATAGGACGAAATAATTTTATATTTATATATGGTATGGTTGATCCTTATTTCTCCTCTAGGCTGAAGATCTCACTTTCTATTCCATGGACAAAGATAAGTGGTAGGCATGTTTAACGTACAACAAATTAAGTAGGTAGCCTCTTTTCCATGTTTTCTCCATTAATTGCAAATGAGAATAAAGGTGGTTCATGCATATAAATCATTGAGAAAGCTCCAATTGTGCGAATATCAAAAAAAAAAAAGAAAAAAGATTGGCTAGCTAGAAGTCACAACCAAAAGCATTTGTTCTCTTGCATTTTCCCTTAATTGTCATTTACATTGGTTTATGCTTTTCGTGTAATTAACTTATTATAACATGTTAGTTATCATTGTCGTCTAAAAATTTACCTTTAATAACTTATAAACAACTTGATTAAATAAATATTTTTACACTATCATTGCATAGTCGATAATTTTAATCATATTAACTTTTCAAACAAAGGGGATGTAGCCTCAAGGTACCGGATTCATTTGAATCCAGCAGTAATTTGAAGCATAAATTATATGTAAAAATCAATAAAATTGTAAAATTGTAAAAGTTGAAGAGAGGTTCTCAAATACATGTTAAAAGAAGATTCCATTTCTGAAACTTTTCCCTATAAATACATTTCCCACACCATAATACATCCTGCAGCAAGCAACTCCTTGTATCACATCCTATATATTTTCTTACTAAAAGATTTACTAAATTATTTCCTTTGCCAAAACAAGACAACAAAAATGTCTTTAATGCCCCTATTTAACGGTCGCAGAAGCCATGCACGCCGTGTACAGAATCCGCCACCACCAACAACAATTACGCATCAATCTCAAACAAGTCAGGATCGACAGATTCCTTATTTTTCACCAACAACCGCAATTACTACGCATCAACCCGAAACAAGTCGAGGTCGGCAGGATCCCTCCCTTGAATTTTATCTTCAAAATCCTCGATCTCTCATAGCACCAGCTCTATCATTCCACAATGAACCCACATCTATAGCTCAAATTGAGTATAAAGGAACCCCAGAGGCACATATTTTTAGTGCTAATTTGCATGGATATAAGAAAGAAGAAGTGAAGGTGCAGGTGGAGGATGAAAGAGTCTTAAAGATTACTGGGGAGAAGAAATTAATAGAAAAAGGATATGATAACTGGCACCATTTTGAAAGAAAAATTGGGAAATTCTTGACTGCTTTTGATCTGCCTCAAGATGCTAGAGCTGATAAAGTAAATTCAACAATGGAAAATGGGGTGCTTATTATCACTGTTCCTAAGAAGGGAGTCAAGAAATCCCACGTTAGAACAGTTCGAATTATTTAATGAGTTGAATTTCTTTTTTTGCACACTATACAGTTTGATATATATTTATATTTTGTGTCAAAGATATTACGTTCAGTATTAATGTAGTGATGTGAAATAAAGAGCAAAAAAGGAAGGAAAGTAACGACTTTTTAATTAATGGAGACGATGGATTAGACTTGCTTTGTAATAGTATTAGCTACTCATATAAATAAAGGGTATTTCTTTCATATTTGTTCTTTTTTTTGGGCAAATTTGGAGTTATAAAAATTAATTAAAATAGCGACATGAATAAAGAGTATACTGCTGAGAGCTTGTTGGAACAATCTGATATAATTAGGTTCTCATAATCAAATAGACACTCTACTTATTAGTAGCCTACTCAAGAAATTTTATAAGCGATGTCACCATTGAACAAATAATGACTAAATTATTACAACATAAGCGGTGTCATTTATGAATTTTTATCTTAGACTTTTATTTTTCTTATTATATATATATGTATATAATTGACGAAGCAGTGTCGTGACACCGCTTGGGGCAAGTTGCCTACACCCCTGCTACTTACACAACACGAGTTCCTGACATCTTGCATTGTATAATATATAAACTATTGACTTATAGTCAAATCGACACTCGTACTTACATTGAATTGCATCCCCGGCCTTCTAATTCCACGAGTTGTCAACCAGACACCCGGACATTTAAGTGTTTGAAACACTTTTTTCTTATTCTAACTCTTGGAGTAATGAAATCTTTCCTAGACAAAGGTAACATCTTTGATTTTAAGTCAAAATAGCGCAGAATATCACTATTGCCATCTTTTTGGTGTTGAAGGACGCTTCTTCTGTTTCTAATGGTTGAACCAAATTTGAAGTTTTATTGACCCTGCCTGGATAGGAAATTAGGAATTCGTCTACCTGAACTTGAAGCCCAAACAAGTGGCACCGTAGATAAAATTTACAAATAGCCACTTTCTAGTCTCTATAACTGAAAAATAGTCATTGTCACGGAGTTTCAAATTCACATGTGAAATTTTAGAATATTGTCATAGAGTTTTAACTTAGGAAGTGGAGAGTAACAATTGAAAAGTAGGTATGGCATTCCCCATAATATCTGCTTTCCCCTCCATCCCCTAATATCTGCTTTCCCCATATTTATTTCTGCTTTTGGGACTTGCCGGAGTGATTGGTTATGGAATTCAGAGAGTTTGGGACACTTAGTCCCTAGTTGTGAGTTTAAGCCTTAGAGTTTGAACTCTAGTCGGAACTGTGTGAAGACGGATCCGGAATAGAATTTCATCGACTCTGTTAGCTCCGTTGAGTGATTTTGGGGTTAGGAGCGCGTCCGGAGTGTGTTTTGGAGGTCTGTAGTAGATTTAGGCTTGAATTGGCGAAAGTTAGTTTTTCGGCGATTTCGGCCGATAGTGAAAATTTTGATATCGAGCTTGGAATGGAATTCCGAAGTGGTTGTAGGTTCGTAGTGTCATTTTTGAACTGTGTGTAAAATTTGAGTTCATTCGGATTAGATTTGATATGGTTCGACGTCGTTTGTAGAATTTGGAAAATTTTAAATTCTTAGGCTTGAATCCATGCTTAATTCATGATTTTGGTATTGTTCGATGTGGTTTGAAGACTCAACTAAGTTCATATGGTGTTATAAGATTAGTTGGTAGGTTTGGTTGAGGTCCCGGGGGCCTCGGGTGTGTATCGGATGCTTAACGTAATGAAATTTGGACTTAGGAAAAATCTTGTGCTTTTGTTGGTTCTGCTGTAAGCGCACCTGCGCAAGGCAGCCCGTAGGTGCGAGAAAATTGGCGCAGAAGTGGAGTTGGGTGGATTGGTCAGGGGCCGCAGGTGCGTGGGAAAAGGCCGCATCTGCGATGCCCGCAAATACGCAAGACTGTTCGCAAGTGCGCACGTTATGCAGAAGCAGAGGGGATTTCCGCAGGCGCGCACGTGCAGGTGCGGCCCTTTCGTCGCAAGTGCGAAGGCAGAGGGGGCAAGTGAATTGCGCAGATGCGCATTTTGTCTGCACAAGCGCACCCGCAGGTGCGAGCCCAGGTTCCGCAAGTGCGGAAATACCTGGGCAGTGGTTAAAACCGAAGGGATTCACGATTTTTGTCATTTTTGACTTTGCAAACTCGGTTTAGCGCGATTTTTGAGAGAATTTTCGAGGCATTTCTTGAGGTAAGTCCCTTGAGCTTATTTTTGATCAATAATCTTACTTTGCCATGTATTTTTCCACCTAGTTAGTTTGTATTTAAGGTGAAAATTGGAAGTTGGAGGCTAGGGATTTGGAAGTTTGATTTGTGAATTTGGAGGACCATTTGGTGTCGAATTTTAGTAAATTTGATATGGTTAGAATCGTGAGTGAATGGGTATTCAAAATGTATAATATTTACTCGATTCCGAGACATGGGTCCGGGGAGTCTTTTTGGGCGTTTTTCCTAATTTCACGCTTTAGTTTCGAATTAATTAGTTAAATTTGTTACTTGTAGTTATATTTACATCATGCAATTAATTTGAATACATTCGGGCCATTTGGAGTCGGATACTCGTAGCAAGAACATGATATCGAGTTGATTGGAGCGGTTCAAGGTAAGTGGCTTGCCTAACCTTGTGTTGGAGACTTTTCCCTTAGGATGTTTGATATTAATTGAAGTGTGAGCGCCGTGTACGTGAGGTGACGAGTACGTACACGGGCTATTATTGCAAAAAAAAATCTCGTTTTTCTCTTCTAAATCATAAACTGTTTTTCCTTATTAAATTACAACAATACGTTTAATTATTAAACTTAGACTAGAGAAGTATGCTTACGTGTTTTAACTGCCTATTTGACATTTTGTGCTCCATGCTTAGTTAAGTCCTTATTTTCCTTATCTGTGTTTAGTATAAACTGTATAACTCGATGTCATACCTGTCATTTCATCTTGCATTGCATATTTAAATTGGGACTACAGACGTATTCCGGGAGATCCCCATGTCTTGCATATTTATTTTGGGATTACGGACGTATTCTGGGAGATCCCCCAGCACTACATATTTACTTTGGGACTACAGACGTATTTCGGGAGATCCCCAAGCACTGTATATTTACTTTGGGACTACGGACGTATTCCGGGAGATCCCCCTGTACTGCATATTCATTCGGAACTACGGGACGGTATCCTGGAAGATTTCCTATTGTGTCTACCTTGTTCTGAGTCGAGAGCTCCTTTAACTGTGTTACCGTAAACTTTACTTATATCTTTTACTGTTTAATTTATTATATTTACTCCGGTAGGGCCTTGACCCGACCTCGTCACTACTCGACCGAGGTTAGGCTTGGCACTTACTGGGTAACACTGTGGTGTACTCATGCCCTTTCCTGCACATGTTTTCGTGTGCAGATCCAGGTGCGAGCTATCAACCTCGGGGTTAGTGCGTGCTGCTGATTCTAGGAGACTTCAAGGTACTTATGCTTGCGTCTGCGGATCTTCGGAGTCCCCTTCTACTCCCTCGCCTAGAGACTTTCTTTATTATCTTCAGACTTTTG